TTGAAATGAATGGGATTGGGCTTGTTGAGTGTTTTAGAGCTACAAGCTTCAAGCAGAAAATCGCTTTGGTGTAAATGGGGCCTTAAAGGCACCCCTATGCATCTTGCTATTTTGAGCGTGTTCCCAATGTGTCAAAATGCATTGTAAGAAAGTACCAGTGTTTTGGTGCAGTGTAATGTTTTACATAGGGGCAGGCACTTTTTTTTTGCAAGCTCCTTGCACGTGGCACAGTCCATTGAAATGAATGGGCTCCCCCAAACATGACATGCAGAAATGCGCAAACACGTGCGCTTTGTCGCGCCTACATAGGTGTAAATGGAGCCTTAGGCTAGTTTCACAATGCCGCGACTTGGGATCTGACTTGTTAAGACCCCAAGTTGCATGACATGTGAACTCCCATGTTAGTCAAAGACAGCTGTCCCAATTATCACTACTGAAGTGGCTCCGACTTTAGAAAAGGTTCCTGTACTACTTCAAGGTGACTTCTAGCCGACTTGTGCCCAGAGACTTTAATGGAAGTCGCCTCCAAGTCTGATCCTCATCTGTATTGATGTGATTTGGATCCGACATTACAATAAGATTACGCAGGCATTCCCTGAAAGTCGCTTCAAAGTTTCATCAAAGTGGTGCTCAAGTCGCTAGGAAGTTGCCTGGCAAAGTCACACTGTATGTCAGGCAACTTTCAGGTCATAGTATTGTGAACCGAGAATACGGCTGACCATACACTATACAATTTTTCTGTCCAATTTCTGCCCAATTTCCTTTAGATTTACCTTCAACTATGTAGTGCAAGAGCCTGCCTAATTGGATACAATTGAAATCGTTGTTTAAGTTTGACCTCATATTATATGGTTTTTGGTAAATCTAAACCAAAAATCTCAAGAAAATTATATAATGTATGGCCAGCCTAAGGGAGTCCCAGGTAGCAGTAAAACCTGACAGGGGTTCTAATGCCTCCATACTCTATCCAAAACAAGCCAAGAAATCCTTTTATCGTCAGCTCTGCCCTGCATTTATGTCTGCCCATAGATGTCTGTGAGTTGGGTGCCCCCTGAGTGTGATGTGGGGTGTCTAGTATATACTCACACTCCAGCTCTCCTGTCACTTTCTTTCCTGTGTGGCACAGCACTGATTTGTGTACAGTGTCTCTATGGCTACAGCCCCGCCTCTCCTACAATAGTCACATGACATGGCCCATGGCTCTCTGCTGGCTGTCTGGGGTGACACATTGAACTTCGTAGTATACATCCATGTTCTGTATACAGTGATCGGAGTACACGGGGACGAGATCAGTGTGCATAGCAGAATGCTAGATCGGGAAGAAATCTACACACATGTGATGTCATACTTTTTGACTACAGCCGGCTTCCGTGCAGCACGTGATACCTGTCATGTGCTGAACACGGAACTGCCCTACGGCCAGTGTGAGCGATATTGTGATTGCTGTACAGAGAGATGAGCCGGGAGTGATGTCAGCAGGTGAGTGATTAGCAGATCTCATTCATCTCTGATCGGTGCACGGATACAGTCTATTGGGAAATCCGGACAGAGCAACATGACCGCAGTGTGCCAGAGACACCCAGCATGGCTCCCAACTGATCCCTCTCTCCTCCTCAGCTGTCACTCTTTTTGTTCTGGTGTAGAGATCAGTATAAAGCTTCATTCACATGACCATAAACACATTAGGCTGTGTTCACACTGATCCGCTTTTAGTGCGTTTCTTTAATTAATCACTTACCCTCCAGAAGATTTGACCCTCCCCCCTTCATAACCGGGCCATTTTTTGCTATATGGCGCTGTGCTGCTTTAACTGACAATTGTGCAGTCATGCAACACTGTATTTCACAAATGAAATTTATTTACTTCAGGTACTTGTATAGCTCCATCAATTTACAAAGCAGTTTACATACAGTTAGGTCCATATATATTTGCACACAGGCACAATTTTAGTTTTTTTCAGGCATTTATCAAAACATATTCAAGCTATATATATCGACCTAACTGTATATATTGTACATTCACATCAGTCCCTAACTCTCAAGGGGTGTACAATCTAAGGTCCCTAACTTGCATTCATACATATACTAGCGCCAATTTAGACTGGATACAATTAACCTACTAGCATGTCTTTGGAGTGTGGGAGGAAACTGGACACCCGGAGGAAACCCACACTGGCACAGGGAGACCATGCAAACTCCAGACAGGTGGTGCTGTGGTTGGGATTTGAGCCAACAACTCTAGTACTGCCAGGCGGAAGTGCTAACCATTTAGCCACTGTGCTGCCTGTTTATATACAGGTATACCTCAGTTTATGAACGCCTCGGTTAATGTTATTTTCTGTTTACGAATGAAAATCCATTGAAAATAATGCCTTGGTTTATGAATTTTCCCCAGGATGCATTACGTCTGGGAGGTTTATAGCGCTGTCCCCGTGCCTTTAAAGTGCACTTTATAAAGAGTTTTGAGCAGATGAGACTTTTTTTTACGTTTTTATGACCTCCGGAACAGATTAATTGGCTTTCAATGCATTCCTATGGGAAACTGCGTTTCGGTTTATGATTTTTTTGCAATACGAAATGTCCCGGAGGTACGCCTGTAATTTTGTTTGCACACAGATCGAGATCTCTTTTGGGGGTGATACTGTTGACCATCCCCTCCTCCTCAGAAAACTCCACTCTCTCTGTTACCTATAACTCGGTCTTCTCCTCTCCACTCCCTCTTTCTGTAGTGGTCCCTCAAGGTTCTGTCCTTGGACCCCTTCTCTTCTCCATCTACACCTCCTCCCTTGGTCACTTGATAAACTCCCATGGCTTCAATTACCATCTCTATGCTAATGACACGCAAATCTATCTTCCTACCCCTCACCTCACCCCTTCAGTCTCCTCTCGCATTACTAACCTACTAAGTGACATATCGGCATGGATGTCACTCCACTTCCTCAAACTAAATCTTTCCAAAACTGAGCTCTTAGTATTCCCCCCAGCCCGTGCCCCCTCCCCCCGACTTCTCCATCAAGATCAATAATACAGCCATCAGTCCCTCCCCTCATGCCAGGATACTAGGTGTAAAAAGACTCCAATCTGTCCTTTCAGCCCCAAATCCAATCACTGTCCAAATCTTGTAGATTTCACCTCTGCAACATCTCCAAAATACGCCCGTTCTTAACCTTGGAAACCAATAAGCAACTTATTCACTCCCTGGTTATCTCTCGCCTTGATGTCACATGCCTGATGAAGGGGTCCTGCGAGACTCCGAAACATTGCCTTGCTGTAACTCTGTGATTGTTCATTAAAACCTTTGGACCCATATTGGTGATCCTTGGTGTGCTGGTGACATTTTTCCTTGTGTTCAGATCCATAACACACAGTCCAAATATCATCATCTAAGAGCATGCAATTTACACACTTACGCTTATGAATGTATGGATATGCATTTGTACATGCATACATTACACCTAAACAAAGGGGAAAAAAAAATTTTTCCGCATTACACAGGAACTTTTTTTCTAGAAAAATATGCAATAACATCAGTAAAATTTTTATGGTCCTGTGAAACTTAAAGGGTGGTTCACAGAAACCAACTCCAGATGCGTTCCATTGCATCTGTGGTGCGTTTTTTTTTTTTTATCCATTCTTGGATGCATTCCAGATGCTTTTTTTTTTCTTCTTGTTTACAGTAATTTTCTTCATGTCACTGGGGTCCGGGGTCCGTTTTTTTTTTTTTCCTTTGTGTAGCAGTGCATTTATGATGCATTTTACCACGTTCCAGTCCAGTCCAGTGCAGGAAATATACAACATGTTCTACTTTTTTTTCTGGAATTGGAATACCTGGAACTGACCACACTGCTGTGAACTGTGCCATTGGAAACCAAATAACCTACTTTCTATGTTTGTGATGCAGAAATAAAACTGCATTGGACTGCAAGAACTGGCCCTAAATGTACAATTTACCTTGCAAAGTTTTGTATACTGCATTTAAACTGGAAGTATATCTATCAATGTAACGGATTCCCAGAACAGCTACATTCCAGGCACGCCATGAATGCTGTCACAGCGGTTTTTGCTCTAAACTGAAATATCAAACCATCACATGGCTGGTGTCATAACTGATCATATGTAGGCCACCACGGCAGTTGGAGCTCAAAAAGAGACTAAAGCAGCCCATAGATTATGCAAAGGAACGAAAAGAAAATTGCTTGATTCTCCATTAACATAGTCAGTCCCTCCTGTAGTACTGTTGTGTTCTGCTGGGAATGATCACATGATGAAAACCCAACAGGCTGGTTGTACTGAAGTCAATCAATTGAGCAAATTCAGTACAACCAGCCAGCCCTTAGATGAAATTTTGACCTGTCCCTACTGAACCAGCCAAGATTCGATCCATCTATGGCAAGCTTTAGGCCGCACTCGCTTTGTCCTACCTATCTGTACACCTGTGCAAAGGGCCTTCTTTTGCCCGCACAGGTGTTCTGCGCATCCCGCCCGCATGCAGTCCCTTTCATGTCTACTGGAATGCAGCAGCTGCACGGAGATAGCCACTGCTCCCAGTTTGACAGCCATGTGGGTGCGTGTCTATGAATGTAGAAAGTGTGCAAGGGTCCTCTGTATACTGTGGACCTAACTAAAAATTTTTAAACACACCAGGGCCAATTGAGTATGTAGTTTGTTATTAAATATTTTAACTTAGCCTTCAAAGCAGACCTCTCATCCATATTAAATAATTTCTAAGGGAAAAAAAATAACCCGTGTTTATGGGGTGGGGGCATTAGTTAAAACTTTTTTTCTTACCCCTGACTTCTGTAATGCAGGGAATTACATTAGCATCCCTCAGACGATAACCCAGGGAATACCAAGTAGCCTGATTGTCGAGAGATGACCCTACACCACTGTATCTGTACAGACATAATGGAGGTATCGGGTCAAATATGGCTGTTTACCCTGTCTACTTTTCCTCCAGATGTCTCATACAAATGCTGCTGTGTAACAATCAAGCACCTAGGCATGCAGACTGCTTCTACAAACATTTGTAAAATTACGGGTTGCTCTCAGGAGCTCAGTGAATTCAAGCAAGGTACCGTGATAAGTTGCCACCTGTGCAATAAGTCCATCCGTGAAATTTCCTTGCTACTAAATATTCCACGGTCAACTGTTAGTGGTATTGTAACAAAGTGGAAGCAACTGGGAACAACAGCAACTCCGCCACGAAGTGGTAGGCCACGTAAATGACAGAGCGGGGTCAGCGCATGCTGAAGTGCACAGTGTGCAGAAGTCACCAACAGTATGTGGAGTCAATAGCTATAACTTTGTGTGGCCTTCAGATTAGCACAACAGCAGTGTGTAGAGAGCTTCATGGAATGGGTTTCCATGGCCGAGCAGCTGCATCCAAGCCTTACATCACCAAGTGCAATGGAAAGTGTTGGATGCAGAGGTGTAAAGCACACCGCCACTGGACTCTAGAGCAGTAGAGATGTGTTCTCTGGAGTGACGAATCACACTTCTCTGTCTGGCAATCTGATGGACGTGTCTGGGTTTGGTGGTTGACAGAACAGTACTTGCCTGACTGTATTGTGCAACATGTAAAGTTTGGTGAAGGGGGGATTATGTTGTGGGGTTGTTTTTAGGGGTTGGTCTTGGCCCCTTAGTTCCAGTGAAGGGAACTGAACTGAAGGTGTCAGCATACCAAGACATTTTGGACAATTTCATGATCCCAACTTTGTGGGAACAGTTTGGGGATGGCCCCTTCCTTTTCCAACATGACTGTGCACCAATGCACAAATCAAGGTCCATAAAGACACCGATGATTGAGTTTGGGGTGGAGGAACTTGACTGGCCTGCACAGAGTCCTGACCTCAACCCAATAGAACACCTTTGGGATGAAATAGAGAAGAGACTGCGAGCCAGACCTTCTACTCCGACATTAGTGCCTGACCTCACAAATGCTCTTCTGGAAGAATGGCCAAACATTCCCATGGGCAGCCTTCCCAGAAGAGTTGAAGCTGTTGTAGCTGCAAAGGGTGGGCCAACTCAATACTGAACCCTTCAGACTAAGCCTTGGATGCCATTAAAGTTCATGTGCATGTAAAGGCAGGCATCCCAATACTTTTGGCAATATAGTGTATTTTAAAAGTTGGTTGGACAAGTCTTTCTGGCATGTGAAATCGAAAGTTCTTCTAGGTCTCCCAGATCTAATTTAAAGAAAAAAGAGACACAAGTTCTTCAATATCTATGAGAACTCACAAATCACAATTAAAGAAGCAAATAAGGGTGACGCTGTCGTCGTGCTGAACACTATAGATTATTATCAGGAAACACTTAGACAATTGTCTGATCCACATGTATATACCTGCCTGACAACAGATCCCACCTCATCTTATGAACATCAACTTGAAAGCTTTACGGAAGAAGCTGTATGTCTTAGAGTTCTGAAACCAGATGAAGCCAAAAATTTGGTCCCCTCATCTGCAGTCATTTTGATTTTCCATCATCAACCTGGACTCCCCTGCAGTCATTTTGATTTTCCATCATCAACCTGGACTCCCCTTTAAGGGAAGACCTATAGTAGCCAGTATTGCTTCTTTGGGGGAACTTTTAGGTAACAACATTGACTATTTACTTCAACCTTTGGTTACAAAATTACCATCGTATGTTCAGTATACTAAACATATCAGTCAAATGCTGGAGAACTTACCTTGGACCAGCAATTTAAAATGACTCGCCTAGATGTACAGTCACTATACTCCACCACATACTCTAGGCCTCCGGGCCTTACAAAACCATATGGAATTATACACCGAATATGATCAGGAGATGGAATGGTTCGTCACAGAAAGTGTTTCTTTTTTACTGCAACACATACAGTGGGGCAAAAAAGTATTTAGTCAGCCACCAATTGTGCAAGTTCTCCCACTTAAAAAGATGAGAGAGGCCTGTAATTGGCATCATAGGTAGACCTCAACTATGAGAGACAAAATGAGAAAAAAAATCCAGACAATCACATTGACTGATTTGGAAAGAATTTATTTGCAAATTATGGTGGAAAATAAGTATTTGGTCACCTACAAACAAGCAAGATTTCTGGCTCTCACAGACCTGTACCTTCTTCTTTAAGAGACTCCTCTGTCCTGCACTCATTACCTGTATCAATGGCACCTGTTTGAACTTGTAATCAGTATAAAAAACACCTGTCCACAACCTTCAAACAGTCACACTCCAAACTCCACTATGGTGAAGACCAAAGAGCTGTCGAAGGACACCAGAAACAAAATTGTAGACCTGCACCAGGCTGGGAAGACTGAATCTGCAATAGGCAAGCAGCTTGGTGTGAACAAATCAACTGTGGGAGCAATAATTAGAAAATGGAAGACATACAAGACCACTGATAATCTCCCTCGATCTGGGGCTCCATGCAAGATCTCACCCCGTGGGGTCAAAATGATCACAAGAACGGTGAGCACAAATTCCAGGACCACACGGGGGGACCTAGTGAATGACCTGCAGAGACCTGGGACAAACGTAACAAAGGCTACCATCAGTAACACACTACGCTGCCAGGGATTAAGACGTGAAGGTCCTTGTACAGACACTTTCTGTTACAGGATGACAATGTTCTGTATCTATCTCCCAGTTGTGCTCCTGTATGGTCACCCTGTTACATGGGCTTCTTTTAAAAACTACATTAACTGCTTTCCTGCTGCTCTATAGTAGAACTACTGCTACAGGATGGCAGGGCTGCGCAAAATCACGTATATATACGTGACTTGCATTGCTGGGTAGAGAACGCGCGCCACACTGCCTGTGCCGTCATTAGTGGCTAGGGATGTCAATCACCAGGTCCTGGCCGGAGATTCCCTGCCAGCACCTGGCGATCGCCGAGTACAGCTGACAGGGGAGTGACCTGTGTGTAAACAACACAGGTCTCTCTCCTGCCAGCAATAACATGCTGCTGTGTATTTCTCTGCACAGCAGAGAAATACATAGCAGCATGTCTCCATAGTAAAGCAGCACACTTAGTAAAACACACACAGCACACAGTTAACCCTTTGATCGCCCCAGATGTTAACCCCTTTCTGCCCAGTGTCTCCTAGATTGTAAGCTCGAAAGAGCAGGGCCCTTGACCCCCTCATGTTTTGTTTTGTTACTGTATTGTCTCATGTTCTGTCCCCCACTATAATGTACAGCGCTGAGCAAACCTTTTAGCGCTATATAAATACTGTATAATAATAATAATAATAGTTAGTACAGTGTCAGTGCTTTTTATTATCACTGATCACCACTGTATTAGTGTCACTGGGGATGTCCGTGGCAGTTAGTCAGTTCCCACCCAGTGTCAGAATGCCCGCCGCAGTCCCGCTATAAGTCACTGATTGCCGCCATTACTAGTATAAAAAAAAAAAAAAAATCCTGTGTGTGTATGTGTATATATATATGTGTGTGTATATATATGTGTATATATATATATATATATATATATATCGCCATTTTTAGTTTTTAGACGCTATAACTTTCACGTAAACCAATGAATTTACACGTATTGGGATTTTTTTTACTAAAGACATGTAGCAGAATACATTTTGGCCTAAATTTATGACACAATTTGATTTTTAATTTTTTTTTTACTGGATATATTATATAGCAAAAAGTCAAAAATATGGTTTGTTTTTTTCATAATTGTCTGTCTTTTTTTTGTTTATAGCGCAAAAAATTAAAAACGCAGAGGCGATCAAATACCACCGAAAGAAAGCTTCATTTGTGGGGGAAAAAAAAGGACATAAATTTCATTTATGTACAACATTGCATGATCGTGCAATTGTCAGTTAAAATAACGCAGTGCACTATCACAAAAAATGGCTTGGTCAGGAAGGGTGGTAAATCCCCTGGAGGGCAAAGTGGTTAAAAGGGATTTTTCACCCCCCTCATGCCTAGGCCAATTTTCAGCTTTCAGCGCTGTCACACTTTGAATGACAATTGCACGGTCATGCAACACTGTACCCATATTACATTTTTATAATTTTTTTCCAAATAAGCAGAGCTTTCTTTTTGGTGGCATTTAATCACCACTGGGTTTTTTTTCATTTATTTGCTAAATAAACACCCCCTTAGTTTATTTAGTGGTGGGAGGCAGCGGAGATGTCAGATGGCGGGAACCAGAGTTGGGTGTGGACCTTTTTTTGTTAATTTTTTTTTAGGTCTGCGGTGAATCATCGTGATTGATTGACACTGGATTTCCTATGGGGGACATTCCTTTTTTTTTTTTTTTTTTCTTTTTGCTCTCCAGAAGAATTTCCCACTTCGTTACCAGGCCATTTTTCGCGATACGGCGCTGCGATACTTGAACTGATTTTTGCGTGGTCATGCAATGCTGTACCCAAAATAAAACTGATGTCCTTTTTTCCCACAAATAGAGATTTCCTTTTGTGGTATTTGATCACCCCTGCATTTTTCATTTTTGCACTATAAACAAGAAAAGACCAACAATTTTGAAAAAACCCTATTTTTGAGTTTTTGCTATAAAACCAAATAAAAAAATAAAATGTCTTCATAAATTTTGGCCAAAATATATTCTGCTACATGTCTTTCCTAAAACAAAATCCCAATACATGTAAATTAATTGGTTTACGTGAAAGTTATAGCATCTACAAATGGCGGTATATATACTGGAATTTTTATTTTATTTTATTTTTTACTAGTAATGGCGACGATCAGCGACTTATAGCGGGACTGCGGTGGGCATTATGACACTGTGTGGGAACTGACTAACTGCCCAATGACATTTCCAGTGACACTAATACAGTGATCAGTGCTAATAAAAAGCACTTACCCTGTGCTAATGGCACTGGGCAGGAAGGTGTTAACATCTGGGGCACTCAAAGGGTTAATAATACGCTGTGTGTGTTTTACTATGTGTGCTGTGTTGTGTTTTACTTGGGAGATATACTGCTTTGTATCTCTGTTGTGCAGAGAGATACAAAGCAACATGCCCATGCTGACAGGAGAGAGATCTATGTTATTTACACACAGATCTCTCCCCTCTCAGCCCTGCCGATCACCGAGTCCAGACTGGGAATCTCCAGCCGGGACCTGATGATTGACTTATCCAGCAGCCAATAGCGGCGTGGGTAGGGTGGTACATACGTGCTCCCCCTATCCGGAACTGCTAAATCCTGTATATTTACGTGATAAAAGGACTTGTCAGTGTGTTTATTGATTTTTGACTGTTCTTTTTGAGAGTGGGTAGCCCATATTAATTCACATGGGGGCGGGATCTGGGGGCTTCCAGATTCCAGTAAGCCCCCTGCAGATCCCCACAGCCACTGCCACCACTTGTGGGGGAGGGGTCCTTGTCCCCATCTACAAAACAGCCCCCCATGTC